GGGATCTTGCTTTATCAAGATTTTTAAATATTAGCTGAGTTCTTACATGAAGTTTCAGCTTATGAAAAATAGATGTAACAGTAAGATCTGAGCAAGATCTTACATTGCATAAATGAATTACTTAATGATGTGAAGGTTAATGTGAACTTCATTAACTTTTTGACCTAATTATGTTGAAACTTTACTTTCTTTATATACTGCCATTATTGTAAAGGCTATCGTGGGTTGTCTACCACTTCCTGTGACGTCATGCAATTTGTAAGATCTTTCAAGATCTTTTATGACTTAATGAGTGATCTTATGTGTCGTGTGATCATGGATGATTCTTCAAGATCATAGACTTACTAGATTTTGTAAGATCTTATTAGATTTCAATTTAACAAGATCATCTTAGTTCTTACAAGGTGTGGTATTAAAAGATTTAAGTGAGGCATGATCTTACATTTTCTGATATATTCCTTTATTCATAAGATCTTTAAAATTCTTACAAGAATTATAGTTATGATAGATCTCACAAGAGCTGACAGCTTGTTCAAATCTTATCATAAGAATTTGCAAGAATTTCTGTGTTAAGATTTTACAAGATTACTATCTTATGTTTTCTTGTATAATCATGTGAAATCATGAAAAACCTTATAAGATCTTGCTGGGATTTTTCACATGGGAAGTGCTACATTTTTGTCGAGACCGTCCCAAGTGCAATGATTTCTGTAATCTACAAATCAAAAGTGCTTTGATTGGTTTGTAGTGGTGCGTGGGCGGATCACTGAAATGAAAGTTCAAAAGTCTCGCAGGTCGCCAGTCCAAGACGATCAGATCTCATTTATCACTATTATTATTGTTACATGTCTAGTGTATGTAGCTGAGGCTGTTATTTGCCTCTATCAAAGCTTGTGGTTAACAGGAAAGCCCATACATATTATACTGCTGTGCAGTACTATATATTCCACACAGTGCTACATTTTCCTACCATGCGGTTATTGCTGGGAAGTTGTAGCACTGGCGGCACCTTTGATCCGCCCACGCACCATACTACAAATTATTTTATTAATGATGTTTGTTAGTGTGTTGTTCCAGGTGATGCTGGTTTTTGTCAGTACCAGTAAGTCATTACAGCTGCTAGGATGGAATGGGTGTGGTCTAATCTTTTATCATGTGACA